TTAAGCTGCATTGTGAATAAATTAAAAGTAAAAAAAAAACTTTTTTAAAAACGAGGTTTATTTAAATGCTCTAAAAAGAATAAAATAAACTTTTCTTTTAAAACTTTTTTTCGCTATCAACTTATAACGTCTTTACACAATATATGATATAAAAGCTTGTCGCGAGATTTAAGTACTCGTATTTACTTAGTTTGAAAATTTAAAAATTAAAATCAATCGCGCGGATCAAGTTATTTAATTTGCTTGTTTATCTACACAAGTAAATCTCGCGACAAGATTTTATATCATATATTGTGTAAAGACGTTATAAGTTGATAGCAAAAAAGTTTTAAAGGAAAAGTTTATTTTATTCTTTTTAGAGCATTTAAATAAAAGCTTGTTTTTAAAAAAGTTTTTTTTTTTACTTTTATTTTATTTTTTCCATTTTAGTTATCGCTGGACAGAAGTTTCACAGTCTGTTAATCTCATTCAACGCATTATCGTTGCAAGGTTGTTTGCCAGTTAATTTTGAACACTCCAGCTAAGGGGTACTCAACCTTTTTTCCCACCAGGCCACATAAATTTGATAGATATTTTACTCAGGCCACAACAAGAAGATAATGGAAAGAGGGGATAAACACTGTTAGACCAAACAACATTGGACAAAGCAAAAAATTAATTAAAATATTAAGACTCTTTTTTTTTAACTACAATACTATATTAAAAACGAAAAGCACGCTTTTTTTTAAATCCGTAATTTTAAACCAAATTTTTTTAATTTTTGTGCAGATTTTCGTTAATACTATTCTACAAACGAAGCAATATTTTCGTGCGATTATATTTAAAAATGACGAAGAGTTTTTAACGTTTTATTAAAAATGTATTTTTGAAAAATCTTTAAAAAAAGTTTTAGGCATTTTATTTTTGAAATGACTGATTCTAAAAGAGAAAAGCCTGAACTTTCTTAGTGCAGAATATCGATTCAATAACACGAAAAAAAAAATTCATACGGAATGATTTAGAAATCAGTTTCATGAAAACGCATCGATTTTGACTCATTTTAGAAAAAATTGTAAAAAATAGAAAGTATCATTATTTTTTAAAAAGAATTATACCTTTTGCAAGATTCCATTCGAAAAAACTACTTTATTAATATCTACACTATTGAAATTCGAAGGTAAACAAACGTATGCGACTATAAGACGGTGTATCTTCTCACGAACCGCACGACGCAAAACTCGCCAACGTTACCAAACGATTGGGAATGATCCAAGGAATCCATTTTTTTTTGACCATTTGTATTCCAAAAATGTAATTAATTAAAAAAATATTAATTAAAAACCTTAAAAAGCGTAGTAATTGCCCTTTTTTCCCGGCAGGCAGCAAAATTCCAATTTTCCGACCTTTTTTTTTTTTTTTTTTTTTTTTTTTTTTTTTTTTTTATCCCAGATGTTTTTATAACACAATCTAATTTTTTATGACACTCAGACAAAAAATAATTACAGTATCGGAAAGATCATTTACTTCGCCACTTTACAGTATAATTTATTTCACAAAATACTAATATTTTCTATTTTTTACGATACTTTCTAAACTTACTCAAAATCGATACATTTTTATGAAAATGATTTCTAAATCGTTCCGATTGCATTTTCTTTCACGTTGATGAAATGATATTCTACACTAATAAAATTCATGCTTTTCTCTTTTAGAATCAGTCATTTAAAAAAATAAAATGTCAAAAAGGTTTTTTTTACGAGTTTTCAAAAAATACTGAAAATTTTATTTAAATACTTAATTTCTTTATTTACAAAAATAATCTACTGAAACATTTTTTCCGTGTGTAGAACAATATCTGTAATCTGTACAAAGATTGAAAAAGTTGCTTAAAAATTACGGTTTATAAAAAAAAAATTGTGGTTTTTGTTTTTTTCCCTTTTTGCGAGAAATATTTAAGCATTTTTTTGTTGCATTTTTTGTTTAAAAATTACCTTTGGTTGTAATCGATATATGAAGTTTGAAGGCATTAACTTATAAATGAAGCCCGAGAAAAAATTTAAACTTTAACAAATAACGCAATGCGAAATTGAATATCTCTTCCTTTTATTTCAAGTGTCTTTTATTTATTTTGTACCGAAGAGATATTTCGTGGATTGGTAGCTTAGAGCCCTGGATTAGTAACTTTTGTAACCGGATTCGAAACAAC